CATCAGAGATGTACCAGCACATTTTGTCCGAATAGAAAAGATTTTCGATAACCATGATGTGGATTGGGACATTAGGGCGAATTTATTAATGATGAATTTAAATGATGGAATTTAAATGAAGTCCTGGCTTGATAACCTCAGTAGAGAAGACATGCGAGATTATGCGAAAGTCAAACAACATTTACTTCGAGGATATCGTATTAACCCCGTTCGTTTGCGAGATGAATTTTTCGCAATGCGGAGACAGAAGGAGGAGTCGTTTGTTATGTTCGCTCATCGACTGCACAACACGCTTCAGTTTTACTTCCAAAGTCGTGAAGTCGATTCATTTCAAAGTGTGGTAAATTTGATTTGCGCCGACCGCCTGAAGGAACTTCTTCCGAAAAACGTGTTAGAATTCGTGTTAACCCAAGAAATGGACGACTGGATGGGTTATGTAGTTTTAGCAAAAACAGTCGACCGACACGAATTGAATATGAAAATGTCCAGCCAACCAACGGCAACAACGCGACCACCTCCCGTTGTTTATAAAAACGTGTCCAATGATGCCAGAAGAGAGGACCGGTGCTACAGATGTAATACGTCAGGGCATATCGCAAGGTTTTGTAACCGAAAACCGACATCAACCGCGACGCCAAAACGTATTCTTAAATGCGAGGTTACTTCAAAACCGAAATGGCTACACGTCATAACGAATGCGAGTCAACAAGGGAAAGTGCCAAGGGTCATACAGGCGGACAAGTTTTATGAAAGGTCGTACGTTGATGTGATGCTGAACGATACACTAAATCGGAAGGCTCTGATTGATAGCGGAGCGGAGGTTTGTTGCATTAGTGAAGATTTGTGTGAAAGTTTGAATCTGACATTGGGAGGTAAGTTAATGGTAAGAGGTTTGGCCAGAGGGTAAGGAGGTAGATGGTGTAAACCGATATGAAACCGATACTAGGTGATGAAAGGTGTAGGGTTATGGCCCCTGCGGTGAAGGTGTGGTGTGCAGTAATACCAGGTTTGTTAGAAGGTTTATTGATAACTCCAGAGGTGGTAGAGTTATTAAACGAAGTCAAGCACTACGAGGTTCCCAGTCCTGTGAACGATGATGATGAGCAGAGGGTGGGGGAGGCAATGTCTGACTGTGATGTGGAAGAGTGGTCTAATCAGGATGGGGATGGGATAACTGATGAGGTTGGTAGAGGAGAAGGGTTGATAGGTACCGACAAGGGAATAGATGAAGAAGGTCATGACGAGGCGATAAATGTTGACGCGAATGAGGTATTGGTAAGGAAAGATGAGGATGCATCAGATGAGGTACAGGTGCCTGATGATCCGGGTCGACATGGTCGACGTGACGCGATTGAGTTATTGATAGGTGAAGGCGAGAATATATCAGATGAGGTAGAGGTGTCAGATGATCCGAGGCGTCGTAGTCGATGCGACACTGTTGAGGTGTCGGGGGATATAAAGGGATCAGCGGAGGTTGCGGGAGAGGTATCGAAGGGCTTTAATGATGGGATAAACGGTGTGGCTGACAGATTAATGATGGTTAAAGAACAAACGAATTGTCCGTCGTTGAAAAGGTGTTGGGGTTTTGCTAAGGTGGGTAGGAAGAATTTTTTTATTGGAGATGGGGTCTTATATCACAAGGAAGTAATACTCGGGCACAAAGTCAAACAATTGTGTCTACCAGTGTCGCGAATCAACACGGTGTTAGAGTTGGGGCACGATGCGCCATTCTCAAGTCATATGGCATTCAAATCCACCAGGTACCGGATTGCGCTCAGTTTCTGGTTCCCTGAGATGACTGAAAAAATTTGACAGTATTGTAAATTATGTACAATTTGTCAACTCAGAGCTCCAGTCAAGGTTGCCGACAGGGTACCAATTACTCCGATATCGCGGAATGATGAATTGCCATTTACACATTTGGTGATGGACTGTATCGGACCGATGATTACCGACGCTGGTGGTGCCAAACCTGAATATAACTATGCACTGGTGATGGTCGATTTATTCACAAAATCGATCAGCGCCAAAGCGACTTGTGAAGTTTTACTTTAGATTTTCATGACGTACTCCATACCAAAAGTTATTAGCTCCGACTTTACGAGTCAGATTACACAAGTGATGTTGAAGAAACTGGGGTGTAGCCCGCGATTCAACACACCAGGACATCCTGAAGCATCCGGGGTTGTAGAACGTTGCAACCAATCGTTGAAGGCGATGATATACAAGTTGGCCCAGGAACATCATCGAAGTTGGCATCGAGTACTACCATTCGTATTATGGAGTTTGAGGGAACGACCGTCTTCTACAACTCACGTCAGCCCATATACAATGTTGTATGGAATGTTACCGAGAGGTCCGCTGTCAATACTCAAGGAATCATGGGTAGGGGAAAATGAACTACCGTTGAATATTGAGAAACGGCCGGATGAGTATTTGAAAACCCTTCACCATAATCTAGAATTAGCTAAATCATATGCTGAGTATCATACTGAGAAGGAACAACAACAGTATGCCCATCAGTACAACTTAAGAAGTAGTGATCGGCACTTACAGGTTGGAGACATGGTGGTGATGTTGATACCGACGCCATTACGAAACAAATGGTGTAATCAGTGGCAGGGTCCCGGAGTAATCTCCAGGGTAAAATCGCCATATTCATATGTGGTGGAAATGGAAGGGCAAAAACATCACGTGCACGCAAACAAGTTGCGTAAGTTCAACCAACGAATCGAGGAGGCGGTGGTAAATAGTTGTGCTATTTTGCGAGATAAGGAGACCGAGTTTGGGATGTTGAAGACTTACGAATCAGGTGCGGGTACTATAAGAGAAGAGGCGCGATGTATTAACCTTGATGAAAGAACATTCACAGGTATTTTCGCCAAAGGTGGGCATTTACAACCATAAACAGCACCGAATCCGGGTTGGTCAGGAGTTTAAACCCAAACGGTTGCGAGCATACGAGGTTCCGGAATTACTACGGGAGGAGGTTAAACGGCAGTTGGAAGATATGTTAGAACAGGACATCATCATCCCATCCAAAAGTGAAATGGCTAGTCCGGTTGTTTGTATCATCAAGAAAAACGGGGGTGTACGCTTGGCAATCGACTACAGGTATGTCAACAAACATTCAACAGGTGATGGATTTCCAACTCCTGATGTGCGAGATGTGTTACAGAAGGTTGGGAGGGCGAATTACATCAGTAGCTTCGATGCTAGGAGTGGGTATTGGCAAATACCAATGGAAGAGGAGTCACGCTGGCTGACTGCCTTTGTTTGTGATGAAGGACTTTATGAGTTCAAACGCATGCCATTCGGTTTGAGGTCAGCTACCATCACTTTCACTCGGGCTATGAGGGAACTCACTCAAGCTATGCAGGAATTTACCGAGGCCTACATTGATGACATCGCGGTGTTCTCAACAACGTGGCAGGAACATTTACAACACCTGCGAACATTTTTCAACATTGTCGCACGATCTGGGTTAACATTTAACCTTGAAAAATGCCGAATCGCTGAAGCGAAACTACATTTTTTAGGTCATGTCGTAGGTTCGGGGACCATTGGAGTAGATCCGACTAAATTGCAGGTGCTTGATAACATCCAACCGCCTACAACAAAGAGAGAGGTACGAAAGATCATTGGGTTCTTCAATTATTTTCAGTGTTTTATACCAAATTTAGCAAGGACTTTAGACATCATTACTGAATTGACGAAAAATAAGGTGCCAAATCGTGTTCAGTGGACAAACGAGCATCAGGATAGTCTTGATAAGGTCATTCAACAACTGAAAAGCGTAACAACGTTGAATACCATCGACTATGCTCAAGATTTCGGGCTAATCACAGATGCCAGTGATCATGCTATAGGATGTTGTCTTGTACAACAGGATGATAATGGTTGCGAGAAACCTATAGCGTTCGCCAGTCGTAAATTGACAGATACTCAACGTCGGTGGGCAGGGAGGGAGGCGTGAGGGAGGGAGGCGTATGCCATTATATGGGCTCTACAAAAGTATCGGCCATGGATTTGTATGTCAACGATACACGTTTACACCGACCACAACCCATTGACATATTTAACCGAATCCACGCCTAAAAGTTCTAAACTGATGCGATGGGCTCTCGCATTACAAGAATATGATCTACGCTTCACCTATAGGGCAGGTAACCGAAACGTTGCAGACTTCCTGTCCAGGTTGCAAGAGGATGGAGGTACAAGGTAATGAATATTCCTCCCCTAGGAATATTCATCATGTTAGGTGAGAGGTATGTCAGGGTTCAGTGTAGCGCTATACGATTTAATTGGATAACCAGTAAACAAGTGAATAATATCTCGTGGCCGTGGGAAGGTGCAGTCAACAGGCTCAGAATTTCAGTTCAGGAAGTATTATCGTCGCGAGAGTTATCGTGGAGTCTCGGAAGTATATTACGTGAGACGTGGAGACTCGAATTTTGTAATATTACGTGTGATATCAGAATTAGTGCTGGAACAGGCTAATTGGCGAATTTGCGAACAGAAGGAAAAATTGGCGAATTCGTGAAGTGGTAAATTCGTGAACCGACGAATTGTGAATTATATATATATATACAGAGATATTGACTCTAAAACGTTATAATCAAATAATTAGAGATATTGACTCATAACGTTGTTTAATTAATTAATTAGAGATATTGACTCATAACGTTGTTTAATTAATTAATTAGAGATATTGACTCATAACGTTGTTTAATTAATTAATTAGAGATATTGACTCATAACGTCGGTTATTAATTATTGTTAATTGCCTTACATTACAAACTGTATTTTACGTTGTAATAGAGAAATTGTTACAACGTACTTGTTCTTGTTGCGAAGTTGAATTAATAATAAAAGTTAAAGAACGAACCCTTACAATATCTCTATTGTCTTACGTTAAAAAATTATTCCGGACAACCCCAAAATCCAAACACTGGCTATGACCTTTTATGAGCGTATAATATATATTTTTATTTACATACTTTGGTATAACCTTTCATATCCATGAGTATATTTTCTGGCTTGATGTCTCTGTGAACAATTTTGAGGTGATGAAGATGTTCTAAAGCTAATACCAATTGACTTGCAATAAATTTTGATTGAATATTGCTGTAAAAACATTTGTCGATTACATTTAAAATTTTGTAAATGGAAAAAACTAAAATAACCTAAATTTTCCAACTCGGAAGAGGTGCTTAAGAAGATCACCACCATCGACATATTCTAAAGCTAAACCAAATATTTTATGTTCCTATAAAGTTAAACTTTAAATCAAATTTTAAAAATCAATCATTGAAAAGCTACTCAAATCTTTATCTACAGCAAATTAATCATTACATGTATTACGTAGTTTAGATTAACTACAAACGGAAAATTAACTGCAGACAAAATATTTTCTTCATCTAGTGCATATTCCAACTGTCCAGATTTTTTCAACTGAAAGAAAATAATAATTATTTATTGAACAAATGAGTAGGTATGTATTGAGTTTTTAAATTTTTTTCAATTTTCATCAACAGTTTTTTTTTAAATTCCCTCAATGATTTAAAAAAGCTTTTTTTATGTACATTTAATTAATAATATTTATTATAATGAAAAATAATAATTAATTCCTTGGTTTCCATGACTAACAATAATAATAATGATTTATATAGAATCAAATTAATTGTACAAATATTGGAATTATATATATATATATAACAATATTCTATAAATTCTACCGAATGTTTGTTTTAACTTCTAATTCTCGAGAGAGATGGAGCAGTCGCTGCTCGCGATCTTGTTCGATTGTTAGATTACGTCGGTTGGTCGCAGAACTTCGAGTAAATGTTGGTAATAGACCATAATTTTTACAATATTCTATAAATTCTACCGAATGTTTGGTAGAATTCGGTAGAATTTATAGAATATTGTAAAAATTATGGTCTATTACCAACATATATATATATATATATATATATATATATATATATATATATATATATATATATATATATATATATATATATATATATTGGCGTTGCACGTTGATTTTGGCGCTTAAAACTTTGTAGAAATTCTTAGGATTAGTTACGTTTTTTAGTTAATAATTGTATATATTCGCTTCATTTAATTTAAAAAATTGAAATATTGTTTGTTTTGTTTTGTTGAATTTAATTTTGGAATAAGTAATTTAAACATTGTTATAATTTCTGTTTTTCGTTTTTCAAAAAAGTCACCTTGACACCTATGTTGTTGTGCCTGGATATTTTGTTTTGCTGCAAAAGATTATAGATAGTTTTGTTTATTATTTTCACTGTTTGCCTGTGAAGCATTATGTCTAAAGTTAAACGTTCGACTACTAAAGGCATCAAAGTTGGTGTTAATAGCGTTACATGCTGTTTTTGTGATTATGTTCTGCCTGCAGAAAATGTACCTAAAGACATTCTGCCTGCTATGAACAACTGTAAAAATCTCAGATACGTTTGCGATGGTTGCCTCAGGTCTTTCGATGGTTTGAAAACATTGTCCAAATCAATTCTGGATAAAAATGATGAAATAGAATTGGAAATTAAAAAGATTTCCGAACATACAACCGCGTTATGTAAAGATTTTTGCGAACTAAAGCAATTGGTAGTGGCAAATGGTGATAGGTTGAACCAGATCAACAGCGTCGACAATACGCTCGATAAATCATTTGACAATTTCAAGCAGCAGATGAATGAATCTTGGACTGGTATAGTCAAAGGGTATCGATGCGGTTAAAAATGACGTCAAGGTTGTGCAGCGTACCCTCGAAGTGGTGAATACTATCAAAGAGAGAGAAAACAATGTTATTGTTATTTTATTATTTATTATTATTATTATTATTATTTTCAACTTAATTGAATCTAATAGAAAGGACAATGATTCAGTTTCTGCTATTTTGCGCTTTTTCACTGATTACTCTATCAAGGATGATGATATTTTAAGTCACCAGACAAGGGAGGAAAATTGATGATTCCAAAACTCCACGTCCAGTTATTGTTAAATTTGCCAGTTTTGTCATCAAAAACAGTCATGCGTAGTATTTCGAAAATTAAGTCTCTCGAGGGTGAATTCAACAAAATCAAAATCAGTCATGATCTAAAACGTGATCAGCGGGTTGAGCTGCGAGGATTGATTGCTGAAGCTAAAACTAAAGAAACTAATGATGACCATTTTTTATACAGAGTGAGGGGCCAAGTGGGACGCTGGAAAATAGTAAAGCTTCAAAAAACTGCAATCATCTAGTATTAAATTTTGGTCTTCTTAATATAAGGTCTGTTATAGCAAAATTTAATGTTGTTTATCAATTATCTGGTGGGTTGGACATTTTCCTTTTGTGTGAAACGTGGCATGGTTCTCCTGAAGATCCGTCTATTCAGTTGGCCATGCCGCCAGGTTTTAGTTTCTTGCAAGTGTTGAGGCCTCATGATCCTTACCATGGTGGTCTTATTGTTTTTTTTAAGAAAATGTTCAAGGCCAGGAAAATTGATATGTTTTCCGGTTTTTCAGACCTTCGAGGCTATTATAGTTGAATTTTCTTTTGAGCGTCGCAAAGTTTTTTATTTTTGGTATTTACAGACCAGGTTCAAAATTGGTCACATCTTTGTTTTTTGGTGAGCTGACATCGGTGTTGGAACATTTATTTGCATTGGGTGATGGTTTGATAGTGGCTGGGGATTTTAACATTCATATTGAAAGGCCTGGTGATACACACTCAATTGATTTGATTGAAATATTTGATTCGTTTCAGTTAACAAACGTGGTTAATGAGCCTACCCATAACTTGGGTGGCACATTTTATTTAGTTGCGTCCACTCCTGATATTCCTTTGTCTAATTGTAGAGTGGATCCCAGTGGTGATTATTCAGATCATGGTCTGATTAATGTTTCATTCTCGGTCAGTGTCAGGCTACCATTGACAACAAGGCGGTTGGTACGCTCTTAAAACCGTTTGGATACATATCGTTTTAAATCTCTAATTTTAAACTCTCCAATCAGTGGTCCGTTTGAAAGTGATGACGTGGATGATGCATTTGTGTTGTTTGATCGTGAGATGAGGAGGGTTGTTGATGACTATATATGTATGTGTGTATGTGTTTGTGTTTATGTGTGTGTATGTTAACTATGAATATATATTGGTATATTCATATATAATTACATTCATATATTTATCTAATTACAGTTTTTAATTTTAATTTAATATGTCGGTTGTACCTAGCCCGATATTTGAATGAGAGTATTCATATGATTTGTGTACGTGTGAATAAGTATAACAGGATGCGAGGTGATGTTTTGTAGTAAAATCCCAATACGATACAATACAACAGAATACAATACATTACAATACATTGTGTGTGTGTGACTATATATGTATGTGTGTATGTGTTTGTGTGTATGTGTGTGTATGTTAACTATGAATATATATTGGTATATTCATATATAATTACATTCATATATTTATCTAAATACAATTTTTAATTTTAATTTAATATGTCTGTTTGTTTGTGTGTATGTGTGTGTATGTTAACTATGAATATATATTGTTATATTCATATACAATTACATTCATATATATCTAATTACAATTTTTAATTTTAATTTAATATGTCGGGCTATGAAAACCATTTGTACCTAGCCCGATGTGGCTCCACTACACTATGTCAACTCTAAACATGTGCCATTAGCCCCTTGGTTCGACGGAGAGTGCAGGGATTTGAAAAGGCTATGTTGCAGATTAGAACGGGTTTATCGAAACAACCCAAGTGATAAAAATAAGAATATCTGGCGACAAGCTATTAAAGATAAATATTGCTTGTTTGTCAAAAAGAAAAATTGTTATTGGAAAGACTTGGTGGAATCAAATAGCAACAAACCAAAACGTCTTTGGAATGCCGTTAACAGTTTGCTCGGAATGGAACAGGTAATGAATGTATCAGAAGTTGATCATAGTTCTCTTGACTTTTCCAAGTTTTTCAAAAGCAAAATTGATGATGTTCGTAATTCAACCAATCATTGTGATGAACCAACATTCACTCCATGTGATCTTGATGAAGAATCTTTTTTTCATACTTCTCGCCCTGTACAGACAGCTACATAAAAAAAAGTCATTTTAGAGTCTCCATCAAAATCTTGTTTTCTTGATTGTGTGCACACAAAGATTCTTAAAAGATTTGTTGATTTGTTTTTACCGTTTTTAACGTTTTTCATAAATTTGTGTTTGAGTTCTGGCTCATTTCCATCTGCGTTTAAAAATGCTGTTGTCACACCGATTTTGAAGAAGAATTCTCTTGATAGACATGAGTTAAAAAATTACCGACCTGTATCTAACCTTATGTTTTTGTCAAAGTTGGTTGAAAGAATCGTTTATCACAATTTGCTTCTCATTTGAAAATTCATAATCTTCTGCCGGTTCACCAGTCGAGTTATCGTGTGTTTCACTCGACGGAAACAGCTTTAATTGATGTTTCATCAAGGTTGTATTCATCAATAAACAAACAAAATGTGTCATTGCTTGCTCTCTTGGACATGAGCTCGGCGTTCGATTGTGTCGATCATGCAATACTTCTCAAAAAACTGAAGTAAACATTTGGACTATCTGGAGTCGTTTACAAGTGGTTCGTGTCGTATCTTGCTGGTCGTATTCAACAAATTTTATTCAAAACAAATTTGGCAGCTGTCGATGCTTTGTCATACGGTGTACCACAGGGTTCCATCTTAGGTTCCATTCTCTTTTTGCTTTATACAGCAAATGTTTACGCAATAATTGAGTCGTACAATTTCAGGTTTCATGCATTTGCTGACGACATCCAAAATAATAGCCAACTCCTCTCCCTCGTCGTTTGGTGATGTGGTCGATGATTTAGTATTGTGTTTATTAGCCATTGATGTTTGGATGATGGGGCACAGATTAAAGTTAAACTAATGCAAGACCCAGTTTTTGCCTGTGGGTAAATGGCAACAAGTGAATAGAGTGGGTATCAAAACTATCAGAATAAAGGAATCTGTCATCGAATTTTGTGCGTCAGCACGAAATCTTGGATTTATTTTTGACACAAACATGACAATGCAATTGCACATAAAGTTGTTGTTTAAAGAATGGTTTTACCAATTGAGAAAATTCAGACTCATCAAAGGATCTCTAAATATGCATACATTGCAATGTTTAATTCACTCATTCATTCACTCGAGGATCGATTATTGCAACAGTTTATTCTACGGTTTACCCAAAAAGTATGTTGCACAGTTACAATTAATTCAGAATCGGGCTGCCAAGTTGTTAACTGGTGGTTCATATTTTAATCATGTTACTCCTATTCTCTTCAATCTTCATTGGTTGCCCGTTCAACAAAGAATTATTTTTGAAATTGCCCTACTGGTGTACAAAAGCATTAATGGA